TAGAAAGATTTTATAATAGGGTTCTCAAAAATTAAAACTGTCAGGCCATTCATTCACACAAATCTCAAATGATATCAAAAATGTACAACATACCGTACAAAGCATGCTTTCTGCAATTTTTATTTGATTAACTTTATGAAACATGCATGTTGATCATATTTATCATCAAATACAAGTGCTTGTGATAAAATATTCATTCCCTTGCAGAAAGAACTTCAGTTATCTACCTTCCTTTCAAAAGATAGCTAATGTCTGATAAATGATTTTGATTATAGGTCAACTCAGTTAATATCTGTATCAGAACTGCAATAGTATGACATTTGCTGATAAGGAAATACTGGCTGGTCTACAATTCGTTCCTGATCATTGACTACATTAACGGAGTCAGTATCAGGTTTTGAACCTCTAGACTTTTGACGAGAGGTACTTCTAGGAGTTGTTTTTAACATGTTCAAGAAGCCTGGGTCAAGGTCAAGATAACGATGATACTGTTCAAAACAATCTCGCTCCCCAGTACACAGTGGAACTTCACATTTTTCACAGTGAAATCGAGAGTAAACTTTCCAGCCCTTAACAGTCCTTATACTATTTAACTTGCATAGAACACATATTCTGGGTTTATTTTCAATGTTCCTAACAATGCGATGTACAGCAGTATTGGTGGAGGCTGATTCTGAGTTTTCTTCTAGTTTGAAGGATGTGTGATGGGCAAGTCTGGAGGGTCCTGCAAGGAGAAAGGAAGATGATAGAATGTAGAAATAACTGAAGAGTCTAACAGATAGAATTCTAGCTTACACGAGTTTCTGCAGTAACCCACTAAGACAACTACTAAGTTATGGAACCCTCACCCAACACTACATAGAATTAAACATACAATGTTAATGACCCTTGATCTCTAAATTTGATAAATTATAAAATATTTTTACCATATTGATACTGATGCTAGAAGGGTTTTAAATGTCTTTGGACAACTTAAACTCAGAATATGTGTCACTGTCACTTTCACAATCGTCAATGAATACATGTGCCACATTTGGGAAAGACTGTCGATTCAAGGGAACTTGCAAACCATGCAGCGATTCTGTATTTGATTGAGGTAACTGGTCGACAGAAAAATCAGTTGAGATTTGAGATGATGAAATGCGAAGGAAGGATGGGTTAGCATCCAAGCAAGAAACTGCACTTCTACTTTTCCCACTGTTCTGTGCTTTCATTATTGCCTCATTCCATAAATCCAAGAACTCTCCTTGAGAAACATTAGGGAATGACTGGAAGATTTTTGACAAAATATCTCTATGGAAGAAAAACAAGCATGATTTTCCATTACACAGAGGAATTTTACAATCCTTACACATGTAGCGTGTATAGACCCACCAACCCCCTTTGGATTTGTTCCTATTCTGCTTGCAGAATTCACACAATTTTTTGCTATTCCTCTCTGTCTTAACAAGATAATGTTCAGCAGAGTTGGGGACACCTAGGCTGTCCAGAGCTGTAAGGGTTTTCACATTATCAGTCCTGGCACAGAAGGGGAGTGCTGAAAGAGAAAGACGCCCATGTTATTCAAGGTTTCCCTTTCCTGTCTATTCCCATGCAGTTTACTTAAACTGTTACATCTCACTCCAAAATTACCACAATCAACACAAAGAACATTCAAAAAATTCTGCTGTTAACATTTTATTTTTAAAAATGATTGACTAGAACACTGTTCAACAAAAACTTCATAATATAAAATGCCAATCTTTAGCACAGTAAGTTCAACATGACTTTCAACTTCAAAACAAATGCAAAACTTCACACATCATTTCCTGAGATTGTAAACATCTACCACTATATGCTACAGACTAGAAAGATAGAATGTGAATCAAACATGGCTCTGTCGAAAATGTCTAGCCAGCTCCCATTTATTGTAATATCCTTTTTTACAAATATGACACACAAAATCTGGGACCGGATTGTGAGTCTTTAAGTGTCTTGTGAGGGATGATCTAAGCTGATATGACTTCCCACACACTGTGCACTTGTAATCCTCTGCGAAAAAGAAAAGGAAAAGTGTTGATCCTATGTCAGGAAATTTCCCTTATCCAGCAAGTTCACTAACACCAAATACTTTTTAATTTCATTGTCATTTATTTGGAATTTTAATTACATATTAATTAGAGAAACAAAAATGAGGAACAAAAAATATACGAAATATTCATGAAAAAAAGGAACAAACACCAAAAAACATTAAAAACTCCACAACACAGGGAAGAAAACCATGACTTGAAACTAGACTTCACAAGAGGGCGGAAAACATTTGCCTGAAATTCTGCGTTCTGTTCAAACATCTTGGTGGTAATGGGTTCTATTGCAGTGACGAGTCATTTCCCATTTATTGTAAAATGTTTTATAACACACGGGGCACACATGTTGGGGTTCACCAGCATGTTTCTTCATATGTCTCTTCAGGGAGGAGAAGAGTTTATAATAGTTTCCACAAACGGTGCACTGAAAGCCTAACTCGTGGTTGCACTGAAAGCCTAACTCGTGGTTTGGTTTGTCATCTGGAGAGAGAAGAAAAAGCTTTCAGTCACTCATCAGGAAACAATTTTTGAATGGAAAAAAGCATGCTTTTACTCATCTTATACATGAACAAAACTTCAGCTGCTTAAAAAGTAAATCTCAACCAAGAGTTTGAATTCATGCATGCCAATATTTTTCCTTTATGTGACTGTTTCTACAGCAACAGATCATACTCTTCTCAATTAGGAGATAAGTTATATCCATTTTCTTACTTCTTATTAAGAGAAACAGATAGAGTGAAAGATCACTATTGCATTGTGTTTTCCAACACAACATAATCAGTTCTCTGTCCAAAGTTCTCATGGAAATCCTTGTAGCAAGTTCTTATGGGTCCTTTACATAATGGGACATCACATTTTTCACATTTGTAGTAAGTTCTGATATTGTCCCCACATGGTGTTTTCTTGCAGTAGCGCTTGCAAAGAACACAAGGTCTTTGTTTTCCACCAAGCCGTACTAGTTTGTGGATGTTATCCGCTGGCTTTGGAATATTAAAACACTGAGCCGATTTAACATCTGGGTTGGAGACAGGATTGTTTTCACTGTACCGGCATTGTGTGGGGATGGAAAGAGGATTAGAGGATAGAGGGTCATAGTTTGTTCTATCCACAGTTTGGTAGGACATTTGCACAGAATGACCAGAGTTATTTCCATGAATCTGAGTTTTAACATTTGAATGGAATTGGTGCTGTGTTACCAATTCCATTTGGTCCATTTTCTTTGGTCTACTATCCTGTCCTGAAAGATACAGAAAAGTAGGCTTCAGAAAATTGACCATCTTTATTTTTTTTCAGTTTAAATTAGTATTTTCTTTAAATTTACATTTGTTTTTAAAATTGAAAAGAACCAGATAATCATTATTGACTTTTAAAAAGGCTTACTGGAAAGACAAAAGTCTCAAAACTGGGAGAAATTACTACAAAACAATAGCATTAGCAAGCTGATATACCAGACTAACTTTCAACAGTATAAGAGAACCATTATTTATTTGCCAAACAAATGTCCATCCTTCAAAAATTCCATCCAAACTCTAACAAGATAGACAACTTAACACAAACTTTCAAGATGTATTCCTCATGCTGCAATCAAACTCATTATGTGTTCCTTTAAAATTCCTTCAAATTAACTTTAGATTTTCATTCCCACGGTTTCAAATACAGCATTTCTTAGACAAGCTATGCAAATAAATGCATATCCAAGAAAATGGTGAAGACCCTTGGAGGAGGATCTAAAATATTTCAGCCTAAAAGCATTAAGCTGACTAAGATTGAATACCCATCACAGGAGACTAGTAGGAAATATGTCACAACACAAAGAAAACAAACAACTCTAACACATTATTTGTAAGATATCCTCATTTTAAACTCAAATCAATTCAAAAACATGGATACACTTTTTTCAATAAATTCATTTCTATGTTTCAAAGAACCATCAACTTAATTTATACCAGTTGGCATTATAATGTTGAAGCTGAAGTTAATATGATTTTAATATTCAATAATGCTTTATCTACATGAAAATTTACAAGATGAAGTTGAAATATTTACCTCTTAACACAAGGAGATCTTACAAATACTTCAATTGAAGTGCTCTAAACACAAGTGTCGTAGGAATTAGTCAAAAGCTCAACTCTACTACAAATAAATCCAAGGTTGTTTTTGTTTTCTTACCTGTGACAAACACATCAACAACTTTGTTTCTTGGCATTATAATTGAAAATTTTGATTATATTGGAGAAAATACTGCTTTGGTTTTGTTTATGTTATCATTCTATAGAGACCAATCAAAATGGACTTGGGAAATCAGTCACAGAAAGGCTTAAAATTCGATAGAATTTATTTCTCAAAAGTTTTTTTTTTTTCAAATGTTTCACAAACATTCAGTGAAAAGCTCTTTGGAGTTAAAAATACTTTTTTCCAAGTTTAACTAATGCATCTTTTGTGATAAAAGTTCCCCATATGTTGATGGAAAGGAAACATCTCTTGGCTTTGACCCATGCAGTTTTTTTTTTTTTTTTTTTTTGCCAAAATGTTTACATGTACATACAATTATAAATTTAGCTATCTTGATGTTCATGTTTCTTCTTGAAGAAATGCTTCATGATGTGCTGAAAGTTCATTATAATTGATTTGCTTTTCAATAGCTATTAGAACTTTTTTTTTAATTTTACATTTCAAAACTTTGATGTAGTACAAGCTGAAAAAAATGTGCATTGCTAGATCTGAGCCTCTTCACCAAATTCTTTTTTTAAGTATATAATTGATCATATTGATTGCTAAAAAAATCATTTATTATACAAAAAAGACAAATATTTCAGTGCAGGAAATATGAACAAATCAAGATTTTTAATGAAGTGCTCAAAATAGCCACATCTAAAACCTTGGATTTATTTTCTGTGAACACTACTGTTCTACAAATAAACAATGTGTACTAACCCTTAAATTGTCCGATGTACCAGGAATTGTTCTGATCTCCGCTGACATTACTGGCTTCGTTTGAGATGTCATCTCTCAGAGCATCCTGGGATTGATCGTGTTCAGGGTCACTCTCCTCTTCGTTTTCCATGCTGTCTTCTATTCCAGTTTTCATTCGCATTATTCCGTCTTCAGGTATGTCCACGTACATGTCCAATCCTCCGGTATGTGCATCTGCAGCTTCCACTTTCACTATACTGATATCCGGAGCTTTATCTGAGGAGGAACTGGGAGATAGTTCCTGAGATTCAACCCTGTTTCTACAAAATCAAAGCAAACACAGATAACTAAACATAGGTAACCATAGATCACAGAGCTCACCTCTATGACCGTCATCTTTAAGTATGACAAAATCCCTTACAAAACATGCTAGATGCAACATTTATGCAATTTCCGTTTGACAGGACCTATAGTTACTTAGCAAGCTTACAGATAAAACGAAGTTTTTTTGCAATTGCGAACAAACTTCTTAACAAATTTTTTGTAAAATTTTATGGATATAATGAACTTAGATACTGTAAAACGAGAAAATTTGGCGCACTACTAATTTTAGCGCCTTTGGCGCAAGAGCCCCTGAGCGCTAAAATTTATTGTGCGCTAAAGGATTTCTAAATATTCTTTTTTGTGTGTCTTCAAAGCTTTTACATAAGTACATGTAAACCGGAATGCGCGATTACGTAATGTCAAAGGCCATTGGATTTTATACAGCACTGCACATGTTCGGAAGACAGAAAGTTCTGCCAAATTATAATTTAATTAAACTAATGTTACCCCGGTAGTTGTTACCTGATTATTATCATTAGCACCTTCAAAGTTTGGCTTCTCGGCGTGTCATTCATCAATCGCCTCGAGGTAAACAATGCAATCAAGCATGGCGATTGAGCTTGCAGACAAAATCTGTTTAGGATAACCGTTTTATCTAAGTAATTTTCAGTCGATGCATGCATTGTTTTAATATTATTTAAATGAGTAAATACTCAATTTCTTTTAATTGAAAATAGAAATAACAAATTTTTGTAACATTGTACCACGTCCATGTGATAGCAACACGAACCACGGTAAAGTGAACGAATGTTTACTGATATACGGGAGTACTGATGTGTTTCCGTGCTTGACTAACCAAAAAGACAAAAGTCGTGGATAAAAAAAAACCAAAATATCACATTTATATATTTTACTGACAAGCGCAAGCGCTAAAATTTATTTGCGCCAATGCATTCCCACTTGCGTTTGCGCTAAAATACGTATGCGCCAAATTTTCTCGTTTTACAGTATTGTGAATTCATGGTTATACTTATAGTAAACTAATTTTATGTCACCTAGAAGCTGAAAATCTTTTTATAGCAAATTTTCAACCATCTGTTCAAAATTGAACTGAATTTCCTGATCATTATTCACACTTACACCTGATCTTGTGCTTGGTCTCCTTCTTCACTTTCAGTCTGTTTTTTCCCTCCACTTTCTGAAGAGTGGACCTGCGTGGCACTTCCTGCAGCAAATGGTTTATTTGTTGCTCTGGAAATGGGGGTCATAGTTGGAAACACAGGCTGTTGAGGTGGTGTCATGGCATGAGGGAAGTTTTCTTTCCTTGTTGCTTCTGATTCTGCTGACCTTGGTGAAAACTGGACATCATTTGAAGTATCTGCAGATCTCTGTAATCCTTGTGATGAAGAAGATGGATCATTGAACATGGTAAGTGGATTGACTGTGATGGAACCACGAGATCCATTTGTGGTAGTCTGTTTTAAAGGCCCTCCCGTACCACCTGGATCAGAAATATTCACCACATGAACATCTGTGGCAGTATTCATTTGGCTGGACACCCCAATGGAGACAGATTTCTGCTTTGGTCTGGAATCAGGTTTCACGTTGCCTCTAGCATCTTTTTCTGGCTCTTCAGTCTGAATTATTTCTAGGCAGTCTTCCACAATATCAATGACCCCTGGTTGTGTAGGAAGCCTTGTGCCTGCACCTAGTTGAGGAACTCTTTCCCATGGATCTGGCTGGCTTGAACGATAACTATGTGCCATGGATAAAGTATCGTCTGCTCTGTGACTAGAGGAATGTGAATCAATAAGTGGACTAGACGGTCTACCCATTCTTTGCCTCTTGCTGCCAGGACTTGTGGGACGGGGGAAATTTGACATTCTCTTCATGTTCACACTTTTCTGTAAACCTGATGACCTAACATGGCGGAATTCGAGCATATCATAAGACGTGTACTTGTACTGGCTGTCCATTGGCATTGGGGCACCTGTAGCACCATTTAGACACTTTAGAAAGTCAGCACAGCACTTAATGACACTGTCCACCTGCAACAGGCGAGCAATTTTTTCAACATCTCTGCAATTTTCTTCTGTTAGCATCATGAATCCCTCATACAAATATTGTAGGAACGTATTAATGGAATCTTGTTTGATGTCGGCTGCCAGGCGGACTTCCAGGTGTGATCCCATTGAGGCATTGTCCATTGACTGTAGCATTGGGCAGGCAGCAACTAAAACAACTCGGTGTGCCTAAAAATTGATAGAGCATTGTTTATTCAAAAATCACAATAGCAGAAAATATCGATTATCAGGCATTCTAAGTGTATTGGTGAAGTATTGCTGCCTAATATTAAACATATTCGTTAGTGTTCTTTGTCTTTGCATTCAACACATCTGAATGAAATCCTGTTTTGGAGGTGATAAGGCCAAACAAAAAAATAACTTTGTTTACTGTTACATGCTGAAATAAAATAGGGTCGGTAGGTAGGATTTTTTTTTTATTTTATTGAATTTTTTTAATACACAAATTCACATGAATTGGTTGAATTACAAAACAGTTTTACCATTGTACCATGCCTTAATTTTGTTTGGGCTTGTAATATGGGTGGTAGACAATATAATCTTTCTTGCCAACTGCCTTACAACTCAGGGGTGTGCAATTAAAAAGAAAATCAAGTACTAACCCACAGGCTTGTAACAACAATAAAGTTATTATTAGTCCGAAGTTAAAAGTGACCAGTCCAAATATTGGGGCAAAAAATACTAATATTTTAAAAAGTTCATAGTTGAGAAAGCTAGGGTCCTAAGCCATTCCTTTTAAAGTTGAAGTTTAAAACTTTTAAGAAATTATATTTTGAATTTCTTTTCTGAACATATTGCACTACTCTAGCTTATCTAAAATGAAGCAAAAATCATTTTATTTTCATTTCAAACCATTAAGTATAATTGATATATATTAAAGTTTAATCACATAACACTTAGCTATCATTTGATTTGGGGATCGTATATAATTGAAAGAGATATCTGCATGTATTTACCATTAACAGAGGAATGGAGGAAATTCGGATTAGGAAAAAACGATCGTTTTTTAAAGTAAATAAGTCAGGTAGTACTGCAAAATGGATGAGATTAAAGTGATTTAAGAGCAGTAGGAGCATGCTGCCTGGAAAATTTTCATTAGTTGGAAATTAAATAGCAAAACAATGAGTGAAAATATCGTTTGTGTTTCTCATGTATTTATAATTATACATGCATAATTTTAATTTTATTTTTACTACCCCCCCAAAAAACGGTAGCTCCGGTTGTTGGGCAATGCTAGTTGCACACCCCTGCAACTGCCACGCAATGGTAAGCAAATTGCAACGAACTCATTGATGTAGAAATTGAACTCACTTGTTTTGTTTCTGTACTTTCAATTTCGATTTCAAAGATGAATGTAAAAGTTAAACTGACCGGCCAGTAACTTCCGGATTTTTATGACGAAAAAAAAATTTGGGTCGGCGATTAAAATTAGGGTCGGTCGGGTAACCGTAAACAAACATATTTTTTTGTTACGCCTAATGGAATAACATATGTGACTGTTATTATTACCTTTGTTATGACTGGGCCTGTTCTTATTATGGCATCACAGAGGACCTGGCTCTTCCACATCGTGGCCAGCTGACATAGCAAGGAACTGGAATGTATCTGGTTAGTGTAGAACTTCTGGTAGCAACTCATTCTGACTTCTTTGTATTGTAGCAGGACTTTCTGAATACAAAAAATTGAAAAAAAAGTTATTTCTAGGAGTAATCTATTTCCATTTCAATCTATATATCATGTAAATGTTTCACATACTAAGACTGTCACTGATTGGATTTAATGACTTGGTTGTGCAGACATGATGCTCAAAGAAGTCAAACAGGCAACCTAATTAAAGTGATGCTTTATTTGCTGGAGATAGGGCAGTTTAAATGGTGACAACACTGTACATGTATTAGTGATGATAAGGTTATAGAAAGAATCATCCCTTTACCAAGTTCTCGCGTCTTGAAGTTAGATCCGCGAAATAAAGTTGTACAGGGTAGAATTGCTGCACCAAGCGGTGTCGCTGAATTCTATTTTTCAATATGGCTTCCTCTCTGACTCTCCCCTGTACGTCACAATATAAAAGCAGGGGATTCGAGTCAGAGGAATCTGGGACTATGTCATCTTCGCTAGCCAAAGGTCTCTGATATGCTACTCTCCTCATGAACCCTTGGCATATGGTGAAGTCAAAAGACAGGATTGTTTTCGTCACGTGATCTCGAATTTAACAGGTACGCACAGATTGCGTCATTGACGGAAATAAAGACGCGTGTTTTAAAAAAATTAACATGATTAAATCAAATTTTTTTTTCAAAAATAATTAAGAAGCAAAAATTGAGTTACGCTTATTCATTATTTACAGTACAAATCAGAACTTCAATATAGATTTTTAATCACATATTTAGAATATATTGGATGACATCATAGCTATTCATAGAATTGCATGTTATCTTACGGATCGTTGTTCACTTGCGTTTTTCATTCCCGAGATTAAAGAGTCAAGAAGTATCCCGAACGCAAATATCATCATTTACAAAAAAAAATTGCTGATTGGTCGACTGGGTGTACCGAATCCCAATCAGAACCCGAGAAAAAAAACCCAACTTCTGTCAACACCGTATGCCAAGGGATTATGAGGAGAGTAGCGTATCAGAAACCCTAGGCTAGCGAAGATGTGATTACGTTAAAATGTGGCTTAATTTCCTCAGGATAATTGTTATTTTAACAATGGTCAATTCCATTCCTACTTCGATACGATATTTCCTGAAGAGCTTGAGATTAACATGATTAAAGATACTAGAGTCTGACACATCTGTTTCATACTTCGATATTTTACTTAAAAAAGACGCTAATGGTAATCTAACAACCAAGCTATATGATAAACGTGATGACTTTAACTTTTCTATCGTCAGCTTCCCTTACTTATGCAGCAATATACCTTCATCACCTGCATACGGAGTCAATATATCTCAGTTGATTCGATACGCAAGAGCATGCTCTATGTATGAACAATTTCTAAAATGAGGTTAAATTATTAACAAACAAGTTGATGAAACAAGAACAGTCTTCACGAAAACTTTTCAAACTAACTGGCCAGTCGGACCAGTGAACTTTCAAAATATACTAGCCCACCAAAATATTTACTAGTCCCTTTAATAAAAAAATAAAATAAATTCATTTCCATAACTGTAAATTTATACATGTTTACGTACTTCAACTTTTGAAATGCCGCCATTTTTCGGCCTTTGTCGCGGTTCGGTAAGTTGTTCGTAGGAACTTTGCACATTTTACGTACTAGTTAATAATTACTAGCTACTTCCGGTTGTTACGTAATACATCCATGTTATAATATAGGGTTATAATTATAGGATTCAACAACACGAGCTTCTTTTTATTTAATATATCAATGAAATTTGCGCAAGTAAGTCAATTGAAATAAATTTTGACTGTATGATTTTTATGATCAACAAGCCCATCGGACTTCTTGAATTTTGATTTTCACTGACCCGACCTCAAAATTCACTGGCCTCGGTCTTCGGACCAGTGAGTTTTAGTGAAGACTGCAAGAATATCAACAGTCTCGTTTAAAGTCATCATTTCGTAAATTTTATGGTCGCTACAATGACCTTGTCAGCAAATACAATTTATTATTGAGACAAATACTGACTGACGTTTCATACTTATTGATAGTCCATTATTTATACACTGAATTGACCACGGTTTTTTCTGTTATTTCCCGATCATGACAAGAAGCACACGGCAAGTGTGACCGGTCAGCAGGGGATGCTCACTCCTCCATGGCACCTGATCCCATCTCTGATGTTTCGGAGGTCTGTGTTTGCTCTGCTCCAATTTTGTATTCTTTTATGGACTTTGATATTGAATACTGTTCGTTATCTCCATATCCTTCCTTTGACCAGCAATGATACTTACAATTTATATTTTTTGCCATATTCATATGATCAAGGCACATTCTTATAACAGTGGTTGCAAAATTACATGAGGCAGAATATACATTATGGATAGGAGGAATAACCCCTCCCCAATCTTCTAGATCATGTACCATAACATCACAAGATCACCTATAGACGAGGGAGTAAGAGTGGACGACTACTCTCATAATCTAAATACTCAAAACCGTGTCAAAATAGCTAGATATATGTAAAATTTTGATTGTAATAATCAAAAACTAAAACCATACAATTGTTCCAGTTCATAAAATATGTTTTATCGGATTATCCCACATTTGCAAGCATCAGAAGCGATGTCAATTTTGCGTCATAAGTGGTTTACTGATAATTCTGTTAGGTCTTATGTATGCAGAAAAGGCCCATCAAAACACATTTGGGTTAAAAAGAGTTGCATGTCTTTCTACTTGTTCACTCTTGGGCTTCCGTGTGAACAAAGAAAATAAAAATGGCCGCCTGATGTTCACGTACCAAGGTACGCTCCTCATGTTGATCCTGAAAACGTGGCTTCAAAACGATATGATAAATGTTTACCTTTCACAAATCGTCTCTTTTCTTTCAATGTTAAGATATAAGATATGCAATGGTCACGTTAATTTCCGCTATTTTTCATATAACTGTCCAAGTTTCTGTACATCTTTCAACGTCCATTGATCTACAATCCGGCCTGTTATGATATGTGCGCAGAACCTATGCGCAGTTGGGATATTGGGGCTCCAGTGGGGAAAATATGATAAAAGTCATAATCACGTGATTTCGTCCATTGTCGATTTTGGTTAACAGGTTTGAACTTGGTGGAATGTAAAAATATTTCAACACAGCTTTTTTATTATTTATTTTTATTAACATTTCATTTATGCTTAGATTTCGCCAAACGTTTTGTGCATTACCTTTACTTTACTGTAAATAAAGTTATGTAGTGTAAATAAAAAATCTCCTTGAAAAACATCACAAATCACTATACAGATCTATATATTTTTAAATTTCATATCAAAATAATATAATTATTGACATCTAAGGCTACATTAAAGAAAATTTGATTTCACGCAAAGTCTAAATCCATTTTGGCGGTAAAAATAAAAACTATTTACACATTCATCGATTATGAGATTTCGATTTAGCTTGACTGCATGAAATGAAAATGATTAAGATTCTTGCAAATGTAACTTTTTTTTAAATCAATTAATAATTTTAAGAGTTTTTGTTCCCGACTCAGTCAGAAGTCTGTATGATATCTATCAATTTTCCAAGAGTTTTCCATGATGCAGGAAAATTATTTGTTTAAGGATATCTGTTCCTCAGTAAGGAAGGATAACTCTTAAATTATTATTATTTGATTAACAAGTCCCACAAATACAGCTTGAAAAGCTACTCAGAGCTGAAAACTGTTCATAAATGATATCTGCCAAGAAGACGAAAATGAGAACGTATGTGAAAACTGTGCCTCTCAACATAAATCGCCGAAGAACTCATATTAAAGAAATGATCTTTATATGTGGAAAAAATAATCGTTAACACTGTAAAGTTTTTAGATGGATTCTATACTTCAAACGGAAAAAGGGGGAGTCAAAATATAACAGCCAAATCTGTGGGCATACCACAGAATATCGATGTTAATTGTGTAACACTAGCTACAAAATTAACTAAATAATCCAAACTAAATTGACAGACCGGAGAGCTACAGTACCACCCATTGAAAAAACTATATTTATTTGTTTCTCGATTTATTTCGCCGTGTTTTTCAAATTGCCATAGAAAAGTGTAACTGACATTGGGGCCATCAAATGTGAGATTAGTTGATTGAGATCAAAGGGATATTTCGTAAAATACCTTTTTTACAGTTGAAAAATTAGGAGAAAATAATCCAAATTCGAGCGCAACTTTTTGTGCACAATAAATATACAGATTTTTCTGTGGGTTGCACTGTATAGGTCTCTGGTAATCCATCCTAATTTATTTTTCAGACCAGCGAGCTACTGATCTGCAGCTAGTGTGCCACATGGTATCTGAAAATGTTAGATTTACATTGAAAAATATTTTTAAGACACGAATGTTTTAACAAAATAGATTTGATAAAATTGCCTGAAACGTGGGTGCATTTTTTAAAGCCAAAAATTAAGATCAATAGGCCTAATAAAAATATGGAATCAAAAAATAAAAGATGCCATGAGGATTAATATTTTCAAGGAGTGTAAGATTCGAAACTATGAGATCATACCTAGACTGCTAGATTTTTTGCAAGCTGATTTACATTGGAGATGTTTACCTGCATTTAAAAGAAAAAAATTCAGAAAAAAAGAATGATATTACTGATGCAAAATACTGCAGTGTTAATTTCCTTTACTATTTTTGAACGGAACAGCTTATTCAATATGATTCACCGTTTAAACATGTCCGTGTATCCTTTTTTCTGCATTTCTATACTACTGGATCAGTCCATTTATATTGTACGAAATGGGTGAATAGCTCTTTTTGCGCCAAGTGTCACTGCTATTTCGCGCCTTTTCCTTGGATTGTTCTACATTGTATGAATGGGTGTGCTAACATACATGGAATTAAAATAAAGTTTGTCCTTTTAACCCCGGGCACTTTTAATGTTTCAGGAATTCTATCTACAAGTTAATGTTTTATCTCATTCTTTTAAACAACATATCGTATGATATACAGTATACGGACATGCAACACTAAAGAAATTATTTTTTCTAATTTGTTTCCCAATCCCGCGGTTGGTTTATTCCATAAATGAACTAGTGTAGTCCAATGATAATAAACAACGCAGTTCAACAAGTTAGGGTCCCCAGATGCATGATCATTTAGGGTGAATTCACCATGCATCGGACACATACCTTGCATCGGACAACTTTAGACAATAAACTCTCTTTCAACTTAAGAGTTCCGTGTATTTATTTGTTTCTGTCTTGAAGCTGAAGACTTAAATTTTTTAATGATACCGATTGTTATTATCATGTTGTGATAAAAATACCACGAGAATGGCCTTGAAGTTACGTCATATTTTACATCATCAAAGGGGAACAACCAGGAATTTAAGATTTTGCGATTTTTAGAGTTATCGTTCTTAAAATTCGACTTCAACGGAACGAGGCAGACTTTGGTGAATAAAGTCAAAGATTGATAATTTTACATAAATTTTAAAGAAATTTCACTTCAATGTTCGTATAATTCTTTTAAAAGCTGGTTTTCACTAGTATGTTCATTTCTCCGTACATCGGACACAAATTAACCATGCATCGGACACTTTCCGATGCAAAGGTAAGCACTACCATTTTCATACAGAACTCAGCTGATAGCTGTTTTTTGCGGAAAAGGAAAATAAAAACTCTATATTTTCAGTCAAAATACAGGTTATCGATGTATGACGTCTGGAATTTGACTCAATTTATTTCTACAAACCAGAGTATGATAAACCATGAAAACATAGGTAATCAGAGATTACAGAGCTCACCTCAACGAATGTTGTCTTTAAATAAGGAAAAGTCACACAATTAACCAACAAAAAATGTACATTCCAAAAATGAAAATATCTAAGCAATTTTGATCTGATACTTTGAAGTAGACCAACATAAAAATCTTCTTCATGAAAATGTAATTCAGCATCTAAAGCAAATTTGAGTTTTCATCTCTTGATGCAACATTTGTGCAAGTTTGGTTTATACAATGTTATAAAAGCCTTAAAGTTTTTTGGTAATAGACCTGCAACCATAACTTTAACCTGGTCTATTATCTGAAAAATATATATGTCGAATTCAGCATCCGAAGCAAGTCGATTAGTGTGCATCCTAAGATGTATCGTCCATGCAAGTTTGCACATTATAAGGCTCATAGTTAATTGGAAATGAAACATACATCAAAAACTAACATTTTCACTCATCCACAAAATGTAGGTCAGATTCAGCATCCGAAGCAAGCCTGGTAGTATCCATCCTTAGATGTATCATCCATGCAAGATTGGTCATTAAAGAACTCATAGTTACTTGGAAATGAAACCTGCACCAAAAACTTTTACTTGTTCACTCAACCGGAAAATGTAGGTCAGATTCAGCATCCGAAGCAAGCCCGGTAGTGTGCATCCTTAGATTTATCATCCATGCAAGTTTGGTCAACATAGGGCTTAAAGATACTTGCAAATGAAACCTGCTCCAAACACTTAACCTGTTCACTCAACTGGAAAATGTAGGTCAGATTCAGCATCCGAAGCAAGCCCGGTAGTATCCATCCTTAGATGTATCATCCATGCAAGTTTGGTCAACATAGGGCTTATAGTTACTTGGAAATGAAACCTGCACCAAAAACTTTAACCTGTTCACTCAACCGGAAAATGTAGGTCAGATTCAGCATCCGAAGCAACCCGGTAGTATCCATCCTTAGATGTATCATCCATGCAAGTTTGGTCAACATAGGACTTAAAGATACTTGGAAATGAAACCTGCACCAAAAACTTTAACCTGTTCACTCAACCGGAAAATGTAGGTCAGATTCAGCATCCGAAGCAAGCCTGGTTGTATCCATCCTTAGATGTATCATCCATGCAAGTTTGGTCAACATAGGACTTACAGATACTTGGAAATGAAACCTGCACCAAAAAACTTTAACCTGTTCACTCAACCGGAAAAAGTAGGTCAGATTCAGCATCCGAAGCAAGCCCGGTAGTATGCATCCTTAGATGTATCATCCATGCAAGTTTGGTTAACATAGGGCTTATAGTTACTTGGAAATGAAACCTACACCAAAAACTGCACCAAAAATGTTAACCTGCTCCAAAAACATTAACCTGGTCATTCCTTTGCTAAAATTGCAGCATCTGAAACTTTGACTGGTACAATGAAACACACTAGAACCATCTTCCATGCATGTCTAATCAATATAGGACATAGATGTACTTAAAAAAAAACTGCTCCAAAAAACTTAACCTTAACCCGGGACGCCGACGCCGACGCCGACACCGACGCCGACGCCGAGGGTATTACATAAGCTCCCCCAACTTCGTTGAGGTGAGCTAAAAAGGCGCGAATTACCGCATTATAAGCATTTTAAAGCATTTTTAAGGCAGAGTGAGGTCTCTTGAATCGTTCTACATTTGTGCAACGATATCGTCAATTAGATTTAAATTGAGGGTTAATTCTTAGATAAAAGATAAAAATATATCCATATCAAGCATTTTAAAGCACTTTAATAAAGGTATGATATTTATCCAGTCAAAATATCGTCTGTCCGATGCATGGTAAACAATGTCCGATCCATGGTGAATTTTGAGTTATTCCTAAAAACTCGATTTTTGAGGATATTTTCTAAATAAAGGGCATATAATTGTGTCCCAAATTGATATTTTAATCACAAACTAAATGTTAAACTCCATTTTGATAATTTTCCGTCGGTAGCGATATCGCTAGAACTTGTTGAAGTACAAGGGTATCCGATGCATGGTGAATTCACCCTATATGTCTCTGTTCAGACGCACACAGTAATTAAGAAACAAGTGCAAAATCTTGGATTTTTCGTTCCACAAAGGTCTAAATATTGCAATTACTTACATGTATTTCATGTTCAATATATGACAGTGGCAATATCCCCCCCCCCCCTTTTAAGAAAAAAAAATAATGTACACACATTACTACTGTTTACTTCAGTGGAGAAAATACACTCCAAACTCCAACAAAATG